ATATAAAATATCTATATTCTATACACACCCTACCCCTGCAAAGACAGTATTTATTGGTGGGTTGTATATAGCTTGCCTCACCGGCAGCATCTTCCAGGATCTAGACCCATGCTGGTCAGAGATGACAGAAAATTGAGCCCACCTAACCAATCCCAGCAAGTCCCTGGGCTCAGCTGGAAATCTGCTCGCTTGATGGCCACCTCCAAGATCTACAGAACACGGGGAGGGAATGAGTGCCGCTCGACAGGCCATGGACTTTTGACAGTGTGTGCTGTCAGCCTTGCTGTGGTATAGGCGTGGATGCCAGGACTGTGTTGGAGTCTTGGGATTGGGACTCAGGGCAGTCACAGAAGGAAAGAAGGGGCCATCACAGGACACTGGCCCCATGCCTGGGTCGGGACATTCACCTAAGGGCAGCCCTTCCCAGGTATTTATTCTCTATTTATTGGGGGCAGAAAAAGAAGAGTCCTGCCTACAAGGACAAGACTATATCTTTTCTCCCTGCCTAGCCACAGCAGGGCTGCCCTACTCTACCTCCTTAGCTTTCCTGTGCCTCCTTGACGTGGAGGCTGGGGAAGTGGCAATGGGGCCAGGTGCAGCAGGGCTGAGAGGGGAGCCCTAGTCCTGAGGGGAGAGGGGCCATGGTGGAAGGCTGGGCCTGCAGGGGCTCCCCAAGGCTTTCATCTGCCCCCCCACTGCAGGCACTAAGTGTAAATAGCTCTGGGGGCATTTGGGGAGATGGGTGGGGGCACCTGATGGCCCTCTGCTGCCCAGGCCACAGCCATCCTTGGGTTCCATCTTGCTAATAAACACTGGCTCTGGGACTAGACTTTGGCTTTTCTCCTTGGTGATGGGGGTTGGGGGAGGAGTTAGGGCCATATTGGGGGGGGGATGTGGGGAGCTGAGAGGCAGTAGATTGGCCCCACTTAGAAGAATTAAAAAACCCAGCCAGTATCAAACAAAAAACAACAATAAAAACAACCAAGTTTTGGCTTCTGCACTCTGCTGACTCCCAGGAAGTATGAAGAGCTCCCAAGGTCCACTTACATGTAGGATGGAGGGGTGTGGGAGGCTGGAAGCTGAGAGTGGCCCAAGTGAAACAGTCTGGCTCCTGGGTAAATCTCTCACCCGACAGGATGGATGTCAAAGCTGCTGTAGCAGGCACTGCTGTACACTTCCAGACTTGGTGCTGTCTGTGATCCTGGCACCCCCTCGTGGTCTCTTGAGTTTATGGCAGGATTGAGTATTGAAAGGCAGGCAGGTTTACAAAAAAAAAGTCCCCAGGAGGCTCCAATCCCCTGGAGAGACACATTGGATTTCTGAGGGGATCAGGGTACAGAATCCCTGGAGTCTGAGAGCTTAGCCCTGTAGGCTCTGCCTAAAACCCTTCAATAACAGGCTGTACCTCAAAGGGCTCCAAACCTTAAGCTGAGGCAGGCTGGTTCTGCAGAACCCTAGGTATTTCCCAGTGCACCAATAGGACACTTTTCCAGGCTCTTGGGCAGCACCAACCTGCCTTGGGACTCAGATTCCCCATCTAACAACAGGCCTGCAAAAGATTGGGCAGAAGGGCCTGGGAGATGGCTCAGTAGAATAAGTGCTTCCCTGGCAAGCGCAAGGGCCTGAGTTCAATCCCTGGTTCTGCCTAAAGCAGCTCTAGGTTCAATGCCCAGGACCCCAAAGAAAACCATAAAAAAAAAAAAGTGCCCAGCGACCTCTGCAGCACCCAAATACATTTATACACGTAGGCACAGAACACTTAGGTATGCTCACATATGCTTGGGTGTACAAGTATGCTTGGTATGCTCAGACATGCAGCTGGGCAAGGGCACCCAAACATGCACTGCACATGTATGTGCACTTGCACACTCAAGCACACATGAGGCCACAGAAAATATTGCAAACACAAGTACAATTGTAAAGAAATGCATAGCAGGCCAGAGGATGCGGCCCAATGGCAGAGAATATGTGTAGCATGTGTGAAGCCCTGGGTTACATTCCCAGCACCACAAAAAAGCAAATTATACACATATATGTGTATATACATGTGCACACAAAACATCCATATAAAGCATATGAACACTCATATAAAGACCACACACTCAAAACCATACAAACATGGACCCATACACACAAGTTGAGAGCATAAATGTGTCAAGACATTACCTTAGGGGCCAGGGAGATAGCTCAGTTGAATAATCACTTGTCTGGCAAGCTCAAGGGCCTGAGTTCAATCCCTGGCTCTGCCAAAAAAAAAAAAAAAAAGACATTACCTTGCTCAATGCCTGTAAGGGGCAGAAACAGGCACACAGCACACGTATGTGGTCACCAGTGTCACATGCCAGCACATGAATGCTGGTATCAGATTCAGCCCTCTGTATGGGGCAAGTGTAATCACCTGCTTTTCCCCTAGTGCTTCCCAGCAGGGCAAAAAGCCCTGGTCCAGAGCCAGTCAGCCCTTCTCGGCCACTGCCTGCTGTGTGACCCTGTGAGCCTTGACTTCCTCATTAGTAAACAGGGTGGAAGATGTGGGCCTCCATCCCCCCTGTAAGCTTCCAGCAGGATGAGGAAGGTGCCGAGCAGTGCCAGGCAGACTCAGCTGCTCCATGCCTGCTTCTCCCTCCACACTCTCCAGCTGTAGCCCCACCCCAAGTTGAGGACCTGTCCACTTAGCCCGGACCTTACCAAACATGTTTCCTCACTGTGGGGCAGGGGAAGGAGTACCCAGTGCCTCTAAGGATGGCGGTGGGGAGAATGCAGAGTCAGCACTTGAGGGATTGGGGCCATGCCAGCCTGAGAAGGGTTGGGGGGCTGAGCTGGCTTCACCTGTCCTTGTCTCTGATTGGTCCTTGGCACCCCTAGCTCCCAAATCCTACTAAGCAGCCCCACCAGGGTCTGTGCAGGTCCGTGGAGAGTCAGGCTCTCGGGATCCCCATCTAGAAGAGCTACCTGCTCAACTTGTCCCTTCATTGACTGCTGGGACCATGGGGGCTGGGGCTAGTGCCGAGGAGAAGCACTCCAGGGAGCTGGAAAAGAAGCTGAAAGAGGATGCTGAGAAGGATGCTCGAACGGTGAAACTGCTTCTTCTGGGTAGGGGCGTGGGCCCAGGGGTGACTGTTAAGGGTCCTGGCCTCAGTGACACAAGGGTTCCTTGGGAAAAAGTGGCATTGAAGGAGGGTCCAGTACAAAGTGGGAATCGGGCCACCTGATGGGTGATGTCCTAGGTAGCACCCCTTGTTGGGCAATGTCTGCCAAGTGCATGTGCCTTAGGCAGGCTCCCTCATGCTTCAGCCTTGGCTTGATAAGACTGGAGTCCCACACGGCACTGCTCTCTTGGGAAGGTCATATTCTTGGTGGGAGCAGTGTAGCTCTGGAATCACCCAGAGCTACAATGGCCCTAATGGGCCAGCTCTTCATTGGTGGCAGATCTGTGATGCCTCTAAAGGGGGGTGGAAAGGTATTGAAGGTAAAAGCCTATGGGGACTCTAAAGCTGATCCCAGGTCCCATGGATATAAGCCTTCCCCAGGGTCCTGCTGCTCCTTTAGGGGCAGGGAGCTGCTTTAAAAGGGTGGGACTAAACTAGGGGTGGTGCAGAGGAGAGCTGAGAGGCCAAACGGAAATCCCATTAACTGTTCCCAACACCCTGGCAGGCACAGACTCAGAAGGGATGTTAGTTCTGTCCCACCCACAGGCCCTAATTCCCTCTGAGCCTCTTAGACTCGCCTTCAGGAGAAGCAGGGGTTGTCCTAGCTCAAATAATCCTGTGTATGTAGTACCACAGATTGCCACCAGGTGGTGCTCCAGGATGTCTTTGTTTTGGTTGCACCCTATAACAGGCTGCTGATACCAATGTTTTGGTCTTGGGGATTCTGTGCTTTGGCACCCCAGCACAGTTGAGGTTGCTGATGTCCCTAGTGGACTCCATTTCCTCTTTTTTTTTTTTTTTTTTAGACAGGTTCTCACACCAGGCTGGCCTCAAACTTGAAGCAATCCACCTAGCTCAGCCTCCCAAGTGCTGGGATACGCCTGGACTTCTTTTATTTTAAAATTGGGAATTGAACCTAGAGCTTTCACATTGAACTATGTCATTTTTAATTTTTTAATTTTGAGATAGGGTCTTGCTAAATTGCCCAGGCTGGGCTTTTGGTCCTCCTGCCTCAGGCTCCCAGAGCTGAGATTCAAAGGTGCAATACCACCCCTGAGCCATCTCCCTGGCGCTCTTTTTTTTTTTTTTAAGGACCTTATTTTTGTTTCTTTTTGTTTTTGTGGCCGGCTCAGCCCACCCCTAGGGGCGGGGCTGGTGTGGCATATGGTGCTGGAATCAGACCATGATCCTAGTGCTTGCCTAAGTTCACCTAAGCAGGTGTTTTAGACCGCGGAGCTACCTCGCTGGCCCAATAGAAACTTACTTTTGATTGGGATGAGGGCAGAAGTCACTAGGGAGCTACTGGCCACGCCCTAGGCTATGAGGCTGCCCTCAAACTCATCTTCTGCCTCCCTGGAGAGGCAGGAAGTCAATGGACTTCCCTTTCAGGTGCTGGTGAGTCCGGGAAAAGCACCATCGTCAAACAGATGAAGTGAGTTCCCCCTCCACCCCTAAGTCCCTGGGGGTGGGTGCCCACTGGCTTTCGCTCCACACCATCAGCCACAAGCTGACCTCATTTACTCTGGCTGCAGGATTATCCATCAGGATGGGTACTCACTGGAGGAGTGCCTCGAGTTCATTGCAATCATCTATGGCAACACGCTGCAGTCCATTCTGGCCATTGTGCGGGCCATGACCACTCTCAACATCCAGTATGGAGACTCAGCGCGCCAGGTGCGCCACCAGGCAGGCTGGTGGGGATTGAGGTTGGAAGCACCTGGCTGTCCTGGAGTCCCTAGTCACCACCTCCCACTCCAACCCTGCCCCAGGACGATGCCCGGAAGCTGATGCACATGGCAGATACCATCGAAGAGGGCACAATGCCCAAGGAGATGTCAGACATCATCCAGCGTCTGTGGAAGGACTCAGGCATCCAGGCCTGTTTTGAGCGCGCCTCTGAATACCAGCTCAACGACTCAGCGGGCTAGTGAGCACCTGGGCAGAGCGGGAGAGGGGTGCTGCACCCACCCCCACCCCCCATCCAGCCGCTCACCCTGGGGTTTCCGCAGCTATCTCTCGGACCTGGAGCGGCTGGTGACCCCGGGTTATGTACCTACCGAGCAGGATGTGCTGCGCTCGCGAGTTAAGACCACGGGGATCATCGAGACCCAGTTCTCCTTCAAGGACCTCAACTTCCGGTATGGCCCTCACCTGCACAGGACGGGATGGGAGATGCTAGGGTCCCTCCCTGCTAGGACGAAGGCCTGGCCCCTCAAGGGCTAGCCTAAGAGGGAGGAAGAGGGGGAGGGAGGGAATGCAGGGGTGTTCTGGAGGGCAGGGCACCGTTCAAGCTCAGGCTTCGCAGGATGTTCGATGTGGGCGGACAGCGCTCAGAACGCAAGAAGTGGATCCACTGTTTCGAGGGCGTCACCTGTATCATCTTCATCGCCGCCCTGAGCGCCTACGACATGGTGCTGGTGGAGGACGATGAAGTGGTGAGTTGTGCGTGGGGCCTAGAGGCTGGCAGGGCGGGCGCTGGGGAGGGTCAGACGCAAAGGCAATCAGGCAGCCTGCAGCCAGCTTGACAGGACGCAGTCTGGAGACCGAGACCCCTGCTGGCCTGTGGCGGAGCAGGCCTGTGTCACCCAGGCTCAACAGCCATTGTGCTCCGCAGAACCGCATGCACGAGAGCCTGCACCTGTTCAACAGCATCTGTAACCACCGTTACTTCGCTACCACGTCCATCGTGCTCTTCCTCAACAAGAAAGATGTCTTCTCCGAGAAGATCAAGAAGGCACACCTCAGCATCTGCTTTCCAGACTACGACGGTGAGGGCTAGGCCCGGCGACCTGTCTGCACCCCAGCCCACTGTCTGGGCCACGCTGCTAGTGCTCCTCCCTTGGGGGGCGGAGGCCGGCAGGCTGCAGCGGCGATCGAGCGCTCTGCTCTGCGCAGGGCCCAACACGTACGAGGACGCGGGCAACTACATCAAGGTGCAGTTTCTCGAACTCAACATGCGGCGGGACGTGAAGGAAATCTACTCCCACATGACGTGCGCCACAGACACGCAGAATGTCAAGTTTGTCTTTGACGCTGTCACCGACATCATCATCAAAGAGAATCTCAAAGACTGCGGCCTCTTCTGAGGTGGGGTTCACGCAGGCAAGAGGCGTCCATCTCCTTCCCTTAGTCTCAAACCTCAGTCCAGCCCCCACTGCCTCATTCCCCTCTCTACTGCAGGCCCCACCCCCTCCCTGCCCCTTGGGTGCCAAGTCCCAACCCTCGGCTTCCAGGTTCCACCTACCTCCTCAAGCTCCACCCACTGTCATAGGCCCCGCCCCGACTCCCAAGGTCCGCCCATTTAATCTCCTTTGAGCCCTCCCCAAATCCCTAAGGGTCCCAGCGTCAGAGATGCCCCACACAATGCCTGAACCTACTTAAAATGCTGACTTGGTTCCCTTTCCTTCTTATAGGTGCCTGAACTCCTGTGTGTCCCTTGCTCTGAGACTCTGTAGCCCTAGCTGCCTGTCAACCCTCCAAGACTCCAGGGCCCTCACCTACTGCCCTGCTGAATACAGTCCCAAAGCTTTGAACCCTGAGCCTTTCAGCGCAGATCCTCCCCCATGTCCTCTGCCCCAGCCCTGCCCATACTGCCTGGCTACTCTGGCCTCTTGGACCCGCATCAGTCAGCCCCAGCGAGGACACAGCAGGACTCAGGGCCACTGGAACTCACAGTGACTCAGCACTGACCATCTGACCAATCTCCTGCAGCCCTCTGGAGCCCAGGGCTCACCTGGTAGGTCTGGGTTCACCAAATAGCTCTCCCTCCCACAGTTTCATGGAAGCTTTGCAATGTCCCTCCCCCAGCAGCCCAGTCCAGCCCTGCCACCTCCATGTGACAAATCTGACATTTGCCAACCCAGTGGCCAGCAACTGTCCCTCCCCATAGCTTCGAGGGTCCAAAGTCCAAGCTAGCTCTGGTTTGTGCAGCCCCCATATAGATAAATTAGTGACTAGGGAGGTGGATCTGGGAGCCCCTAGATGTCAGGAGAGACAGAAGCTGGACCCTCCTTCTGAATACCAGTCTCAGAATGCCCTTCTTCCCCCTCCAGATCTTGCCTTTCTGTCCTTGAACCCCAGATCTGTGTCCCACCTCACCCCCACCCCACCACAGTACTCTGAGACAACTGGCCAAGTGGATGGTGTGTTGAGGGAGGGTACTGTTGACACCAGCTATGCCCAATAGTCAGGTGCTCCTGAGGGGTGGCAGGGGCAGAGTCCAGCCCCTATTGATCAGCCCCACCCAGGCAGAAAATTCAAGATAGAATGGAGCTCAGGCTATTCCCAAAGGAGTATACCTCTTGGGGGCTACAGGCAAACCCAAGTGACTCTTTTTGTCCCTGCCAGAAGTTCTCTGCTTGCCTGGCAAGTGCAAGGGCCTGAGTTCAATCCCCTGTTCCGCAAAAAAAAAAAAAAAAAAAAAGTTCTTCTCACCGTCTTCATGCAGGGCCCATTCCTTGGTAGGGAAAACTGAAGGCCATGCTTGAACTATCAGGAAAATGCATGTATGTCCCTCACCCTCACACTCCCTTCTTCCTCGTCAAGCACCAAGTCTTTGCTTATGCCCATGGGCTGGGGCTGTGCTGCAACTAGAGGCAAAGCCAGAGCATAATCCACACTTCCTGTAGGTCCACAGATTCAGCAATAAACCTTTGTACCAGATCCCAGATGTTCTTTCTTGAGAAGTGGGGATTAATTATCATGAGTAAAAAAAAAAAAAAAATTATCATGAGTCCTAGACATTTATTAAATACCCAGCGCTAGGCTGGACATAAAATGGGAAGATGGTACCTTCCAGGTAGAAGGGCCTAGATGGACTTGATGGTGGGTACTCATGGGGGTGTGGGCCAACCCCCATGGTAACTATTGGTAGCTCTCGGTAGCTATGGGAAACGTACACTGGGACAGTGTCGGATCAAGAGGAGTTCAGAGGTATTGTGTAAGTCCTGGAAATGTGGGCCCACAACCACAGGAGCTCAATGGAGCAGGAGCAGGCAAGGGGAGGTAGAGGTGCCCAGGGCTAGGCTGAGGGCTTAATCTTTTCCAGAAGGTGATGAAAAGTCATGGAAGCTCTCGAAGCCAGGACATAATTGGGGCAGGGATTAGGTTGAATCATTAGGTACTCATCTCTGGTGCAAAATTTAAGCCTATGGCAAAAAAATAAAATAAAATCAGTAACCAGGATAAATAATGAAATAATTTTAAAAATCAGGATTAATGCAAAGAAAGAAACCCACAGTGAACAAATTTCAAAGTCCAACAGAGGCATGCGAAGACACACTGGAGCCTGTAGCAAAAAGAAAAATATCAAAAGAAAAAAAGAAAAATATCTGCTCCTGTATAGATTTTTGTGGTGAAGTACATATAGCAAAGAATTTACCATCTTAACCATTTTGGTTTTTTTTTTATTTTTTATTATTATTATTATTTTTTAATGTGTGTGTGTGTGTGTGTGTGTGTGTGTGTGGCCAGCTCAGCCCACCAGGGGGTGGGGCGGGCTGGCATGTGGTGCTGGGGGATTGAACCGTGGTCCCTGTGCTTTGCT